GTCATCTGAGCCTGTTTCTGTACTCCAGCCTATTGTTCTGTAATTGCTCCCCAGTATTCTTTTGGAGTTTTTCTTCTCTGATGTTATTGTGCTGCTTTCCTGCTTCTCTCTCTCATCTCTCCCTATTAAACTAGATCAATAGAGAAGCCTTAACCCACAATAAACAATAATTTCACCTACTAACTAGGTCACTTTCAGTGCTCACAGAACTGCTATATATCTGAGCATTCTTACAATATTACACAGCAGTTCCATGCCCAGCACATCCTTAAATACTTCTCACATAAAATGTTATACTATTAGGTTGTGGTTTAAAAGCACACAAAGGTCAGGAAATATAAAGTTAACATTCTCTCAGTAACATTTACTCTTTCACTAACTATATGCCTATAATTTTTTATGACTACAGCTAGACTGTTTAATGTATACAATAGCTAAGGTTTTACGACGAGAACTAACTCTCTCATTTCCTGACTTTACTGAATAAAATTATATTAATAGTTTTTGCATACAATTTCTTTTTTTTTAATGGAAAACGATATATGTTTTAAAACACTAACACAGAAGTAATTCGAACTAAGCTCTCATATTCATTCCCACTTTGACTGCCTCATTTTGAAAGAAAAGCTTTCTGGTCAGCCATGGTAACTGAACACTAACACATCTGCTTTTATTCCAACAAATGCATCAAATATATATAAAAAAAAAATCTTTTAAGTGAACTTAGAACGTGCAAAAAATTCTGAGATTGTGACATCTTAATCTGTAAAAGATTTTCCTTAAAATCATGTTATTCTTTTTGCCCATGAATACCTATCTACCAATTGGCCTAGTACACATTCAAATGCATGCCTATTTTATTTCAGAAAATGAATATAAGAAGAATTTCTTAAAGCAAACTCTATGCAAAAAGCCAACACTAGACTAGGAAAAAAAAAATTAAAAAATCATAATAAATCAAAGCCCCAACACTAACATTATTTTCTACATACCAAAGGCCTTTAAGACTACATGTCAGTGTTTAGCTTAAGAAGTTTGGTTCCCTGCTACATGGATCACAGCAAAGTAGCAAAACCAAGTAATGAAAAAGAAAAAACAAGCAGCATCTGGGAAAACTTAGAGGTTATCTCATTTAATTCATAGCAACTAAATCCAAAGGCAATAACTGGCAAGTGTACTACCTACAGCTATGTCACATATATGATATGTACCAGACATTTTTCTTCAGACACACTGCAATCAATATGTCAGAAAAACTGACATCACAGTTGGGGGTGCCCTGCTATTACAAGCCAGTTAGGAGCTCTTAGCACAAAAGCTTTTATCCAGTGTGACAGATTAGTGCCTAAAGAAGATTTTATAAAAGGAAATAGGATTTATGCACATCTAGAAATGAGCACTTTGAAAAGTAATTACATAGTTATAAGTCTAATAAGCAGGGTTTTTCCCCCCTCATTTCTAAAACAAGGGGATTTCTTTTTTAGTTTTGTCCACTGAAACAAGAACTAACAAAAAGATTTTGCCTGTAGACCTGAAAACAATCTAAGCTTGTATTGCAATTTTTCACAGACACATGAAAACAGAAGCCACTGTATATCAGAGAGAATTAGTAAACTAGCCTCTCATTTGCATTGTGTGTTATATTTTGGTGTTGCCAAAGTATATCTTTGGACAGGCGGCATAGAAATTCACTCTATAACATTTGTAGAAAACTTATGAAATCCATAACCCAATTAACTGTGGTTCAGAGTGACTGGCATATCCCTCCTGTACCAAAATTTGTAAGCCAGTAATTTTCAACCAGGATGTCATGACATCCTGGGGTTCCTTGAGAGCCTTTCAAGGGTGCAACGCAATGTTAACACTAAGTGAGCAAACATGATTCACAAGATAAGCCAAGAGAATACAAATAGGAATCTACAGTGTCACAAACATTCCAACTTGCTGCACTGTGTCTGAATTGTCTGAAGTCCCTGCCACATGTTACACTTAAGATGTGATTAATGACAAAGAAAAAGAAAAAAAAAAAGCAATGTCTGCGAAAATGTAACTAGAGGTCCACTGACATAGCTGTCCAATATTGGACTGGTACCTATATAAAGAAAATTGACAGTATTGGAAATCAGTCTGATGTGGCTAATAATGCGGCCAATAAATGGCCTGCGCATGTGTGCAGCCGCAGTGCAGTGCAGCACATAGGCAGCGAGGAGCACAGCCCAGCAGCATGAAGAGCTGCGTGCAGCTGGTAAGTCTGTTGTGGTAGAAGGGGAGTTGGGAGGGAAGGGGCATGGGGGGGGGCAGATCAAGGTCCCTGTGGTGAGGGAGGGAGTGGGGCTGGGGCAGGCGCTGCCCAGCTGGAGTGGAATGGGGCAGCTCCTGATGCTGCGTGCACCCATGGGGGGCATGTGTCCAACGGATCGGGGCAGGGCAGGCCAGGTTTGCGTTGGGCTCTTCCCAGAGGGGGTGGGTCCAGGTGGTGGTGAATTTTGGGACGGCTGCAGCTGCCCCCCCATAGCCCCTCTTGCAGCACCACCACTGCCTGCCCCAAGCACAGCCTGGCCCAGCCCCTGCCAGGAACAGCCCAGAGCAGCCCCAGCCCTCAGCAGCAGCCTGGACCACCCAGATCCAGGGGGCACACACCCACCGTGCTCTCCTCAGGTGTGCACAGCATTGGGACTTGTCCCCCACCTCCCTGCACCACCCAGATGAGCCACGGCTCCATTCTGCACCCCACCCCACCCCGGCTGGGCAGCACCTGCCCCAGCCCCACTCCCTCCTTCACCACAGGGGCCTAGATCTGCCCCCACCGCCCCCTTCCACCACTACAGACTTACCAGCTGGACACTGCTCTTCAAGCTGCTGGGCTGTGTATCGGAAATCAGATTGGTATCACCTGATATGCCTCCTTAAAAATCAGATATCATTATTGACCCCAAAAATCTCTATCAGTGCACCCCTAAATGTAACCAGTTAATCATATCTTATGGTGTCACCTGGCCAAACATTCAATCAATTAATGCCATGACAAAAGGAGAAATAAGCCAAAGTTATTCCATAAAATGTGTAATAACTTTGTGACTTATGCTTATCACAGCATTAACTGAATGAATGACCAGGGGCCCCTGTGGCTGGGAGCCCAAATGCACCATGAGCCTGGGAGCCCACTGCTGATGTGGGCTCCCAGCTATGGGGGCACTCCAGGCAAGTCTATAGCTGGAAGACCACCGGGCTTCCAGCTGTGGGGACACCTGGTTTGCCCCAAAGGCTAGAAGCCCGCATCACTTGCGGACTCCCAGCTGCAGGGATGCATGGCACACCTCCACAGCTGGAGCCCCATCAGCTGAGGGGGCTCCCAGCCCCAGTAGCTTGCTACTTACCAGCATAGGGGAAACAGAGAAGGCATGCTACTGATTTGGCATAAACTTATTTTATGGACCAAATGAGATTTATCTCATTTAAATAACTTAGACCTTAGGTACTCAAGACCATCTCAATCAGTTTGCTTCTAGCACAGTTTAAAATTAATCAGAAAAAGTACAAACCCCCAAGGAGCTAACGTTCTCTTGAGCTCCCAGTCACTGTTTATAAGAAAAAGTTACACTCTACAAGTTAACATTTCCACACCGAAAATAAATAAATAAGAGTCTCCTTTTTTAAAGTAACCTCCAAAGGAAATAAGACTGCCCTTCTGTGCTACTGAAGTATATGGATTTTCTTATCCTGCTTTTTTATCTTATAAACTCAAGTCACATACCTTGTTTTAGTGGAAAACATTCTGGACAAGAGAAGAAATTATAAAAATAGGACATCAGAAACCAAATTTTAAAAAAAATGAAGTCCAATTATAAAAAAGCACTTTTGCTTTCAAATCAAACTATTTAAAATTCTATAGCTTTTGTTTCTTAATGCCCAGCTGTTTTAACTTTTGGGGGCAAGTGGGAAGCAAATCGCCCACAGTCTCTCCCTTTCAGTAAAGGCTGACAAATAATCCAAAAGGCATTCTTGGCAAAATAGGGAGAAAAAGAAATCAATTTCCCTTCGTTTTAAAAATCAGGTTCTGTTTTTAGAAAGAAAAACAAATACAGTGCACACTTTCTCCCTTTTACAAGTTTGTCTTTAAGCTTACTTAATCAGCGAATATATTTCTGAAAATCTTGCAAGTCATAGCAAAAAAGACCCACACGACCAATCTAGTATTACTCCCAATGAGAAAACTAAGCAGTAAGCTGTATTTGAGCTCCACACATTTTCAAGAATTACACAAGGCAGGTAGGCAGTGTCAGACAGTTCATAGTAGCTACCAAAACTATACCAAACTGTCTATGAGAAACGTGTCCGAGCTCCCTCCTCACCTATCACAATGTACAAAAAGACTGCCCCTATACAGTTTTTTTAAACAATTAGTAAGATGTACCATGTACGTATTACTACTACTGCTTTAAAACTGCCCTCTTCGAAGAGGTTTGAAATTCCTTATAATTTCACTAATTCTCACAGACACAGTATCTAAAAGGAATCTAACTTTCACATATACTTACCTTTCCTAAGTATTCTCAATTCCCAACCAGCTCCATGCACTATTGCTATTAAAATTTGCACTTAATATCCTGTTAACCTAACTTTATGCCCTCATTTATGAAGCAGAAGCATTTAACCAGAACTTCCAAAAAGGAAACTTGAAAATACTAAACTTAATTTCAACATGAGATTCATGCTAAAGCTACTTGATCAACTTGCTTTACAGTCTTTGAATTTTCTTCTCTAAAAGTATAAAATGGATGCCTAGGGAAAAACTGAACTGCCACCTTTGTTCTGTTGCAGTGAATTTTTCACCATTTCAGAGTACTACTGGATACTAAAAGATCCTTTAAACTAAAATCAGGCTTTTGTGGTTGACCATTCATAACAAACAATTTATTCACTTCACAGTAACAAATAATGACAAGTTTTACATATTCCTTCCTGGTAATAAGAAAAAAGAATAAAAGGGACTGAATTACCTTCATGCACTGTTATTCCGCAATTGTCACACTGGATTATTTCATCAGCATCTTCACTGTTATCCCCAAGACAAACACAGCAAATCAGAATATGGTCCATTTTCTGAGAACTCCAGTTCTGAGACTTCTCAAGAATCAGTGAGTCCTAACATTGAAAAATTAAGATGCACTGAGTAAGCCAAGAACCACACTAAAAATGGTTATTTTTACCATAAGAAAGAAACCAAATAAGTTAAGCCTTAGACCCATTTATCCTTATTAAATATATATATATATGCTTTAAAATTTTATGGATACAGAAACATTTAGGATCTTCATTTTCATAAAAGCCTTCCCCTCTGCTCCTAAGGACTTGAAAAAGTCTTTACCAGAGACACCCTGGGCAAGCTGTAAGACATGCTAGGACAAGTCTCTCTTCCTGCAAACTTTATACAGCAACCTGTTTTAAACTCCTGGTGCTGTTTAAAAGAAAAATGAAACACCAGAAATACACAAATGTTTACCAAAAAACCTGTGTTACAGGAATCCTACTAACATCCACAAATCATACAGCACCTACTGGACAACCATTACACCTTTCCAAAAACCCATACTGTTAAGCCTGGAAATGAACGGTTATGAGCAATTGCCAGCTCCCCTATTCTATACAATGCAGTATATATAAAAACATATGTCCGGTATTAATGTCTTCTCTTTTGACTACTACTATGAGTAAGGATTTGCAGAATCAAGTACTTAGCTTGTAAAATGCTTTAAGATTCTGCAGAGAAAATGATATCATATAAAATAGATGTATTTTTTTTGTTTAATTTACCAAATAATTGTTAATCAAGAAAACAGGAAGCCATTTACACTTCAAATTTACACTTCAAATACACAAGGAATAAATACCGTGGCGCTACTATTTAGCATGTTTTTTTAAATTACCTCCATAATGACTAATCTGCACTGTTTCTGGGCGGCAGAAATTTGTGGATGTATTAAGTGCATTTTTTTTATTTTTCTACAGAATGACAAAACTTAGACAGCCTTCACCAATGAAGCCTAAGCACATGGAAACATGAGGTACTAGATGCATTAAAGCATCACTAGTGACCGATTAAAACAGCCCTTGTAATAGTTTTAGAGTATAGGTTGGCAATTCACACCTGACATGAATCCACTAGCTTGCTAAGCATCTCTCAAAATGATATAGCTGTGCATTTCAGTAACAAAAAATGAATGAGGTAGAACCCTCCCTTTCAAAACATGTTATTCCTAGCCAAAGCCTTCATTTTTGGTTAAAGAAAGTCATGAACACACGCTAGTTTACCCAGCCAGGAGATCTTATACCACCCTCCAGCTCTCCTGTGAAATATGAATTTTCATTTCTACGTAGGAGAAATTTTACAATTCTTGCATTCTCCTATACCTGAGGAAGGGCATATATGCTTGAAAGCCTTCAAATAAAGAAAAAGAAAGTTTTGCAACTGTCTAGTTGGTCTAATAAAAGATATCGCTTCTAGCACACTGACTACTACTATAATACCCTAAACACCTAGAGACTTGGTTTGTCATTGCTGCTAACAAAAACAATGTTCCTTTTTTGAAAAGGAAAAATATGTCAACTTTACATATAGGGTCTGAATGCATTATGTCTTCTCAGGGTCTCCAAATCCTGTGGAGCATGGCTCAAGGTATTTGTTTCTTCTGCTACCCACCCCAAAAAGTTTCACAGTTCAGTTATGGTACACAGACCAGACTGAGAATCGTTTTTCTGCTTAATAACCCGATGCCTGAGGGTCAGTTGCCACCCTTGCATCACATACTGAAAAATCACATTACCCATAATTAAAGGCAATTTAATACTAGAAAGAGTAATATCATGGAGTCAACATTTCCCACCTGCTATGGCAGTTCATTTTTAGAGGATGCTAATCCTATGGTATTTACTCTTTCTATAATTTTTTTAAGCACCAGGCCAACAAGCCTATGACAAAAAAGCTGCCATGGAGATTTCAAACTTTTTGAAAATTACATGTTATAGAAATGAAGGAAAAGGATTAATCATTACTACGCTAGAACCAAGATAGAGTGATTTTAAATAAACAACAACTTAAATTTATAATTCAGCTATACTTACAAAAAGCTCTACATGTAACATCTACATAGAAGTAAACTACCCTGGCTTCCACAAAAGTAATCAACTTACTACATTATTTTATTATAAAATACCTAGGGGTTTAAAAAATCTGTGCAAAAAAGCAGAGTGGCACATGTGGGGGCAGAGTACTGCTCAAAACTGGATCCTGGCTGGCTGGAGCCACACTATGCCTGCTGGTCAAGCTCCAAGAGGCATGATTGTCATTGCTGCAGCCCTGGGAGGTCCCCAGGACCCCAGGTAAGACTGCTGAGGCCAGCCCAGCGCATGCCCCAGCCTCCCCTATCCCACCCAGGGTAACCTGCTGCTGTGCACCAGAGAGCGCGTGGCACAAGTGTTCCCCAGGGACAACTAGCGGCAGCATAAGGTGCATCGCTGCTAGTTGTCCGCAGGGAACCAAACGTCTGCGCTTGTCTGGACGCAGCCAAGGAGTACAGGAGGATGCAGGGGTACTTTGAAAAGTGTCAAGGCAGCCTGCCTCACCCTATCGATTGGCAGGGTGCAGAGCGATTCCTCAGGGCAGAGTCCCCACAGGGTTCCCTGACAGCTCAACCTTGCTATCATGGAGCCAGGGCTCTTCTTTCCTCTCTCTTCTGGAGGGATGGAGTGAGAGCAGAGGGCCACAGGATATCATGTGTCCTCCTCAGTGAAAGAAGTGTATAGACATTCAATTTAGATCGGGAAAAGGAAAATCTTCCTCATGGGTACCTGATCTAACTGCATGTGGAAGAGCCATTTCGTATCTGCAAGAAATCTTGACTGTCTATAAAGTTCTGTTTGTGCCAGGAGGAAGGCTTTTCCCTTGGCACAAATGGAACACCTGTACATGGAATAAGACTAGTTCAGTCACCTTTAAAAAAGAAACCTAATGTGGTATATTAAAAGTTAGAAATGAAATGTAATTGGGGGTGAATAGCTTGCTAACAGTATGTGAAACATGGAAAACTTGACAGCTACATTTGTAAAGTTCAAGAAAAAAAATGGTCAGGTATGGAGACTGTTAATAAGGTCATAAATATATTAACTTTCTCCCTTCTAGCTTACAAGTCTAAATCTATCCATGGTTGGTAGTGACCATAATTTATGGCTTTGTGATGGCTGTTCAGTGGCATATATGGAGTTGTGGCCATAGGTCTCAATCCTGCTGCAGGTATCAACAGCATTAAAATATTACCATAGGCACCCTGCTGGCGGTCTGATCAGACAGACCAAGGAATAAGGCACATAGAAATAATAATCTTCTCAACTCTAAAACTGGCCACAGAAGTCTAGGTGTGGTGGAGAAATGTGGCAAAGTCTTTTTTGATGCTTTTATCTTTTCCGTGGATGGACGATCACTCTTTCAATCAGAGAAGAGGCGCAGAGAGGAGAGGATCCAAACAAAGTTTTTACATATCAGAAACTGTTTGCAACTACTCCTTTCATTTCTACAAAAAGACTATTGATACTTGTTGCCCAAGAGAATCATAACATGCATTTAAAAATGTCACAAAGGCAGGGTAGAAGGCAAATTTCAGAGCCTTATATCCTACTACCCCAATGACCTCACCAATATTGCTTTAAGAAAAAAAAGTGCATTCTATTTTGCCTTGAAATACCTAATGTATGCAAGCTATCCTAAACTAAAACACAGTGAAGGCAAGGCACTTTTGATTAAACTAAACAATCAGCTACAGGAAGAAAGTATAGGGTTAACTTTGCTGTGTAGTGATTTGCCTTCACTTGAGATAGGTCAAATGCATTAGATATTCTGAAATATTAAAACAAATAAACAAAAAAAAAATCCCCCCACCCCAAAGAAGAAAAAAATATATATATTTTCAACAGTGAAGATAAGGTATCTGAACATATTTCCTATCCATCTTCTTATGATCAAGAGGGCAGGAGCCATAAGGTAACAATGAAAAGATGTCTAGGGATAAAATAAAGAATTGTTTTAAAAGGTAAAGTATTATGCTTACTTAAAGGAAAACATGAATAATAAATATAGAAATAAAAAAGAAAATTAAGTTATTCCAGGATTAATTAGTACAGGGTTCGTGAGACTCTCTCCCAATACCTTACTTTAAAAAGTTAACTTAAGGACATTTTGTAACTAGAGCACTTCTCCTATGAATAAAGTCCATCAACAGTAAAAAGATTCCTTTAGCTTCCCATCCAAATTACAAACAGGAAAACGTTAGTAAAAAGATATCCATAAGTAAGGTAAATTAACTGTGTACTAGTACAACTGCACTTCTAACAGACAGGTTCTACAAAAAGCTAGCAATTTGGTTATAACCATTAATTTAGGATTATTTATCTTTGCTGAAGGAAGTCTAAAAGTAATATTTTACTTCAACAAAAGATTACATTTTTAAAATAAAAAGGAATACTGTAGAAGTTGTTACTTTTGGATCCAAATAAAAATCCCCTGGGCAAATCAATTATATTAATATGACATTATCAATACACAATAAGTATATGTACACAGGTAGAAAGCAATTAATTAACCAGTGCTAAAAGAGTTAAATTTGGCTGAATAAGATTAGGGGCTTTGGTTTTCTTTATTGGGTGTGGGGAACTGAGGGTAAAGGATGCTTGTTTAATAGGGGTCATTGTGCCATGGTTTAGCTGGTGGCCAGGAAACCTCACGCAGAAGCAAGAACTACTGTTCCAGTCCACATCTTGTCAACAACCTGCGAGGTGAGAGGCTGATTCTATCATCAGGGTCATCACCATCTAGTTATGCAAGCTTTGGGTGGGAAGCAGTGAAACTCACAACCTATGCATGTGTGTCTACTAGGCAGACAAAGTTCTTTGGGGAAATCTGATCTCTCTTATTAGATCAACTCAAATACTTGGAAGAATTTTTGCAACTATTTGAGTTGGTCTAATAAAAGATATCAGATTTACCCAAAGAACCGTGTCTGCCTATGTCCTTAGACCAACAACCTATAACACTGAAACATGCATCTGCTAATAATTTAATGGGAATTAAAGAGACCCCATTGAGGAAGAAAAACACGCCTTGAAGTACTAGCAATTATAAAAAAAAAAAAAATGAACAGCATCATTTATCTATTAATGATGCTTGACACAAACAGTAACAGCATAAGCTTGTTTACTTATGCTTAATACAGTAGAACAGCATACGGTACTTCATTACAACACAGGTTCAAATACTATATAATCAGGTCTTGAAATCCATATTTGGAATATGAAAATGGGTTAAAAAAAAGAGCAAAAAGGGTTGAAAGCTAGCAACCCCCACCCCCCACCCCCCAACAACTTTAGGACCTCAGGAGCAGCTACTTATAAGTTAGTTGCTTAGACACTGTCCTTTCATCGAGCACTGTGAAATCTGTATTCCTAGGACATCAGCTTCTGCATTGTAATGAGATTCTGCTGTACTCTAAAGGAACTATTTTTTACTAAAAGTGAAAAATTATTACAGTGGTGCTGCCAGAAGCACTTTTAAAAAACAGGTGGTTTCAGATAGCATAAAACTGAAATTGGATTTGTATATTGTCAATTTAGAAATGAATACTAGATTTAAAAAATTAAAAACCACGAAGGCACTTTTCAGAGATTCAATGACCTTTCTTTATATTGGGTTTTCCTCCAAGATCTAAACAAAAAAAAGTATAATTAAAAAAATTACACTTAGTTTCTAAAGCACAGTATCATTAGGATGATTTTTAATCAGTTACGATATTGCATTTTGAAAATGAGGAATGATCCTCTCATGGTGAATGCCTGAAACATGAAACAAGGAGATCAGGTTTTAGTCCTAGCTCTGCCACAGATTTTGTGGCTCACCCTGGAAGTCATAAAGACAGATCTTGCAAGGTAAAGGTACTGAGTACCTTCAATTCTCATTGAAATCACTGTAAACTGAGGTTACAGTTTACCATCAAGACCTTAATCTCTGTTCTTTAAGTCCCCCATTTTTAATGCAGGAAACTACTGTAAAACACTTACCTATCCTAGAATATTGTTCTGAAAGGTCAGTCCATTAACATCTGTAATATCTGTACCCAAGTTCATCAACCAAAAGGCACTGATAAAAAGCACGGTGGTATCATCAAGTAAGATAATGATATAGAGACAAAGGACTAAATATGTATAGGAAATAGACTCCTCTCACTTATAAAGGCAATCCCTAAAGATCAAAAAAAATCAATCTGCAGTGACACTGCAAGTACTGTACCAGCAGTGTGGTAAGATGGTCACCTCTGGCTTCAATGGGCTTCAAATGAAACATTCATCCAAGTACAACTTTGGTCTCTCTCACCACAGAACGTAACTGTCCCTGAAGCACCAGAGCAATAAGCATATAAAAATGCAAATGATGTAGCAAATAAGCTGTCTTGTTTGATTTAAAAAAAAAACAGGTAAAACCCACATGAGAGTAAAACCTATAGATTATAATTGTCAAATTGTTTTTCTGACACTATTAGCATTAATAATATCTTCACAGCTCATATCCAATGTATTAGACCAGGTTATCAAAGATCAAGCCTGTGTGGCATTCTCCCTGCCAGGCAGGCCAGGGCAAGGGGAGGAATCTTGTGTAGTGCACATCCTGGAGCAGGAGCCACAGACACTGGATCCAGCATAGGGCAGGGAAAAAGGGAGGGGGGGGCGGCAAAGGGAGAAAGTCTGTGGGCCAAATCTGGCCCATGGACCAGTCCCATGCCATACATATGGCCCACAGGGCCAGATGAATTTCACTCCCCTGTATTAGAAAATACATCCATAAATGCAAGATGCCATATAACCCAGAAACAGATTTCTGCCAAATTCCAAAATGCCCAACGTAGTTCAATATAGTTTTTTTTAATACAAAGTAAAATCAACAGCAGCGAATCAGCAGAAAAGATTGGTGAAAGAGAAACAGCAGACCTTAAAATAGTGCCGCATATGTCTATGTTTTATCCAGAAATCATACTTATTATAACACTGGGTTTACTTACAAATATTTAAGAAAAAAAAAGGCTTCCAGTGATTTTATTCCAGTTTTGCAAATAGGTTTGATGAAACCAGCTATCTTAACAAGCTGATACAGCAATTCTTCCACAGATGCAAACCTTATTTAAAGCAGTGGAACTGTGTCTGGGGAAGCACTGTAATATCAAACTGCATTTGCATTCTGATCTGACAAGGTATTTACTATAACTAATCCTTACCCATGATCACTTTTTAATCAATGTAAAAAAGCATTACACATCAAAAACTACACTCAATTCCCCTAAAGAAAAAGAAAGAGGAACCTCCCCCCCCTCCCCCCCAATTCTAGCTGAACCCATATACACATCCTTCTATTAAGAACTTTGTTAGCAGTGAATGTAATGTTTGTTCTATATGATATCTGCTACAGTCCAGGGGTAGATCAAGGCTTGTTATCTTTTTGGCATCTGTTAGGCTGTCACAGCTATATCATAACTTCAAATCTGACTTGCGTTTAATAGCATATATGGTATAAGAGAACTAAATTCATGTTTTGGTTTGTTTCCACTATGGATTAGCCTACTTGCTAAAGAGCTAATCCAAAACCCACCAAAGCCGACAAAAGACTTCCCATCGACTACAGTAGGGGTTGGATTGGACCATAAAGCCAAGGCCAGTTTACTTTATTTGTTTTCACTTCATTCAGTATAGTTTTGCAGCTTCTTCATTAATCAAAACACCAAACAATGTCAGTTTAAGTTTTTAAATTACTCATTTAAAAAACAAAAACAAAAAACAGCACCGCAGAGAATTTTCCATTTTTCAGAGAGATTATAGAAAGTTGATTGCTCTACCTCATTACTCTTGCTTTGTGAAAGAGCCAGGCTATCATTTGTCAGCTCCTCATCATCAGCATTACTCCTGTTAAGAACTTTATTTTTCTTCTTCTTGGATGCACCATCGCTAGCAGTGCTGCTGTTATCATCCTCATTGCCCTCCTCATCATTGTCATCATCATCACTTCCACTTCCATCGTCTTCATCATCCTCATTATCTCCATCACTTCCCTCCTTTCGCAATGCATGTTTTCCTTTCTTCTTTTCAGCAGTAGGCCGCCAGTCATTGTCATCCTCACTGTCATAATCATCCATATCATTTAGTTCTTCCATTGATACAAAATCTAGAAGAGGTCGATTGCGGCGCAAATTCCACTTTTTTGGCTCGTTTGATTGCTCATCAGCAACAGCATCGGATTCAGTGGCTTTCTCTTTCTCTTTTTTCTTTTTTGGCTTCTCATCCTCTTCCTCCTGATCTTTCTTTTCTGTCTTAATCACCTCTTTCTCTGTTGCTGGTGTCTCTTCTCCAGCAGAGCTTTTGGGCTGTTCTTCCACCTTCTCTTGTTCTGCTGCTACTTCCTCCAAAATATTTTCTTCTGATTCAGTACAGGAACCTTCACCACTGTCCTTTGATGCATCTTCACTCCCATGACCACTTCCTTCAGAATCTGTTGAGCATATGAAAATTTAAAAAAAGTGTTCTGAAACAAATGTACCCAAAAACCCCAAAACTTGCTGAAACAACAAACTGCTAAACTAAAGAATGATGTATGTTCCTCCCATCAACCTATTTGTCAGTTAGTCTCCAAATATTTTTACTCCAAGTAGCACCGTTGAGAACTTGTTGAATATGAGTGTGTTGTGAGATGATAGGAAAAAACCCAAAAAAACAAAAAAGGTAAAAATACACTTAATGAAACCTAAAAATTCCACTGAATTGTAGAAAATATTTTTTTTTTAAAAAAGCAGTAAGAAATAGATATAGTCTTCATGGGAGGTTATTATACATGACTAACTGTCCTTTTTAAAATCACAGGAGTTACTTCCTAAGCCTTGAAAACAAGAATACAATAGATGTTATTGTTCTTTAACTTACAAAATGATGCAATCACAAGTCAGCAAGTTCCAAAGTAAGGTTGTTCCTACAACTTGAATTCTGACACCTGCTATTTAGGCACTGTAAAAGTTTTTATTTTCAATGTAATTTACTATTCTTTATCAGTGAATAAGCTCTTCAGTGTGCAAGTTGGTCACTGCAAGTGACCAAATTGTCTTTTCATATTCAAGCTGTGGCTCCCTGTCCCAATTGCTATGCACAGTCCAATTTGTACAAAGCAAAGGCCTGGACCGCTATTTCATTCACCATCTACCCTGCACAATATGAAGTATAGGTTAGGTTAAAAATAAATATATAATGAAGACTGACATCTGCATGAAAGGCAAAGTTTACACATGTAATTAATGAAGCAAGGCACCTGTGGTGTGCACTTTACCCAAAGAGGCAAAGGTTGTGATTTAACTTATTCAGAGACATCAAATAATCACTAACCATCATGTTTTGTTTCAGCCACGTATAATAGATAAAACCAATTTTATAGATCTTTTTCTTTTAAATGGTCCTCTACCTTTAAGCACTTTATTTGCCACACAGTAACTACAATGCTTCTATAAGGCCTAATAAACGGAAACAGTATGGTTCTCCACAGCAGTACCATGGTGGGGCCTTGTAATTCATGTACACCAGGTACCTAAGTATTTTGCAAGGATATGGTGTGACCATTAATTCACTTATGCAGATTTACTGACCAACTTTACCCAGACATAGGTAGAGAAAAACTATAATTCACTTTAGAAGTTAGTGTTTAACAGTACACTGCGCACACTCACTGACTGCTCTGATCTAGGCAGTGACTTAGATCAGCAATATTTCTCCAACTGAGAATTTTCCCTCACCACATGTTGCCTCCCTTATTTTCAGTCTACAGTCTCTTTGGGACGGCATATAACTACTAAAGAAACAATTATACTCCCTTAGGCAAAACCTGAGCCAGGCAAGAAACCAAAACATGACACTAAGCCCTGGCACAGAATCTAGTGCAACAGACAACTCAATGGCATTACTACACATAACAGCGCTACTACCACTTACGAGCATGACTTGCATTTAATTGCAATTTTAAAATATCATTCCTTTCAGAATATCTAGGGAGGCTGAAAGGATGTCCAACTTAGATAAACCTATTAACAAGTTAAAGAACTCCACAATGTCTGAACAGAAAAGCCTGTGTGCTTACCAATCACTGTTTACATTCACTGCTGTCTGAAACCAACTAGATCCCATTGTTTTCAAGGTCCTTTGGAGTTCTGGAGATGCTTTAAAAGTCTTGAAAATGATGGAAGCTCATCAGTTACATGACTGCTAATACCAGAACACTGTGTAGCTAGGAAGCACCGTTTGTGCCAACAATGCTGTGCTATTTACCAGCCATGCTAAGCAGTTGGGGACCCACATAAAACATGGACCACACCCCCCCAGGGGCCACACTACTGCAAGTCATGGGCACCTAGGCAGCATTTGCCCCACACACTGTATGCATGTGGAGCCCTCTACTGCTCCATGAATACAAGCAACCACTGTACCACTTGCACCCACCCTCAACTCCCCCACTGCTCTGTGCTATTAGCTATGCTGCCCCACCCCACAACGCAGGAGCCAGAAACATGAGAGAGGGGAAGCCTAAACCTCCTGGCAGCCATAGCAACATAGGGAGAGGTGGTTAGACAGCAGCCCAGACAGGCCGGTGCTATGCTGTTGAGTGAATTTCCTATTTATTCAATAAGTGTGCACTTTACCATGTATTAGGTAACAGGTTGTCTGGCAGATGGCCCCTATATTGAGATAAGACCACAGAAAAGTAGGGTTGGAAGGAACCTCACAACACAAGATCATCTAGCCCAGTCCCCTGGTCAAGGTAGGATGGATCATCCCTGACTAAACCATCCCAGCTAAATGTCTATCCAACGTACTCTTGAAAACTTCCAAAGATGGAGATTCCACAGCTTCCCTAGGTAGCCTGTTCCAAAAATTCTTGACTACCCTCAAAGTCAAGAAGTTCCTCCTAATCTGCAGCCTAAATTTCCCCTACTGGAGCAATGGCCTCAAGCTATTTTTTTTCTTCATAAAGGAAAAGCTACTTGCCATCCTCTCTAAAAATCACGCTGCAGGTATCTGAAGAATGTTATCAGATTTGGTTGACTGTGTACCATTTCTCTAGTCTATCCAGGTCATTCTGGTACCTAGCCCTACCATCCAGAGTGTCTCCAATTCCACCCAACTTGGTGTCACCTGAAAATTTGTTAAGCATACATCACCCCATCATCTAAATCATTAATTAAGATATTAAACAATACCAGACCCATGGCAGACCACTGGTGAAACCCACTTGATACCTCCTCCCAACTAGACATTGAGCCATTGATGACCAACTCATTGAGAACAATAATTCAAAAAGTTATGTATCCACCTTACAGTACTTTCATCTAGTCTGTACTTCCTTAGTTGGTTAATGAGAATGTCATGAGAGGCATTCCAAAAGCCTTGTTAAAGTAAGAAAATACCACATCTACTCGTCTCCCCCCATCCACACAGCCTGTCACCTTATTACAGAAGGAAACAGGTTGATTAGGCACGACTTGCTCGTAGCAAAACCATGCTGGCTCTTCATGATCATTTTGGTCTCTAGATTCCTTGAGGACCTGCTCCACAACTTTTCCAGGAATCAAGGTCAGACTGACTATTATGTAATTCCCCAGATTCTCCTTTTTCCTTTTCTTAAAGATAGACACTTTGTTTGCCCTTTTTCTAATTATCTGGGACCTTCCCCAACTTCCATAAGTTCTCAAAAGATGATAGCCAAGGGCTCCAAAATTACTTCAACCAATTCCTTCAATAACCGAGGGTACACATACCATCCAGCCCTATCTGAAATGATTTGGCTTCCTTAAGGCATCCCTAACCTGTTCTTCCACTAGTCGAGTCTGTTTGGCTCCTTCCCCTTCTTTGCTGCCAACTCTTATCCGGTAGCTATTCGTGAAGACTGAAGTAAACAAACAGGCATCACATATATAAGGGGTTTTCAACCTTTTTTAACAAGTGTACCCCTTCTCTCTCAAAGTTCCAGCTTATGTGCCTCTTTCATGGTGAGGGAGGGAGTGGAGCTGGGGCTGCACAGCCGGGGCAGAGAGCAGGATGGAGCTGTGAGCAGCTTGCCGGGGGTGGGCCTCGCGCCAGTGCACGCACTCCAGGAGGACACAAGGCACGTGCCCCTGGATCTGCACACGGGGAAGGGCGGGCTGCCACTGTGGGCTGGGACTGGCACTGGGTTGTTCCTGGTGGGGGACTGGTCCGGGCCGTACTTGGGGCGGGCTTGTACTTGGTGATGCTGGGAGGGGGCTATGGAGGAGGTTATGGCAAATTCTGGAGTGGCTG